TTCTAATATTCAATGAAGATAGAAATGATAATGTAACTCAGCTTTAGTACTAGATTGAGCCATCTTTAAAGGATTTTTAGAAAATATAATTAGAATTTGAGTAGCTGAGGGTAGTTGAATGGCTAGATGGACATGAAGTATAGAAAAGAATAAATTAAAGTTCTTATTAAAGTATATTAGAGCAATGGTATATGTACACATATAATTTAATTTTAAAAAAAGAAAAAAAGTATATTAGAGAAAACTATTTCAGGGGTTTATTTTAAGTTGCAAGAATTTAGTTTTATTCAAAATATCAAATAGTCATTGGGATTATTTTATTTCCCATTATAAAGGTAAGTATTGTTTTGTGAAACCTGTATCAGTTTGGATATGTATAAAAATAATGTCTGTGCACCATATGTTTGAGTCAAGTATAAAATCCATTTCTTCCTGTGGGTGATGGTAAAAAACTGTTGAAAGCTATTGTATCAGAACACAATAAAATGAAGGATTTAACTCTAGTGTGGAGAGCTTTGAGTTAAGATGGTGGACTGAGCCAATATAAGAAATTCCCTTCGTGTGTCTAATATGTAGAAACACCAGAGAAAATAACCAGAAAAGGGTGGTGTTGATGATGGTATGGTATTTTCAGAACACATGGTGGGACTTGAAAGCAAGAAAAAGGATTCTCTAGATGCCCAAAACTAAGAGGACCCATTGACAGCAAAGTTTATGGTCCTGAGGGAAAACTGAGTTTATATGTCCATATAGGACTAAAAATTCAGCGCAGGCCTTATGCTACAGGTGCTGCTGGAACAAGCCTAGAAAAGCTGTCGCTCATAAAGCCTAAAAAAAGCTATCCTTTCCATAATCAGTTACTAGAAAAAGGCCCCCACTCGCACCCCTTCTGAACAAGGGAGGAAACTGTTAATCTCAGGAAATTGGAGACCTGACTGCACTATAGGAGGTAGGGGCCCTTAATTTGCAGTTCCAATAAACTCAGAGCTGAAACACTAAGCCTTAAAATTACCCAGAGCCCAAGACTCTTTCTAGAGGTCTTTCCCTAGAAGCAGCAATCATAAAACTATCACGTAGATATGTATTTCAACAACTTGGGGACCACACATTCCCTTGGAACATAACTGTGTAACTGCTGCTGCCAAATGACCTCACACACCAAAACAACACAGCACATACACAAGAGCCAATTGTCAGAGGTTAGCAGATGACAAATGGTAGGGACAAAGTTATACCCGAGAAATTAGAAGTAATTAGAGCAGTCTGAAAGGTACTTTTAAATTAATCTGCTGAAGAGATTGAAATGTATTAACAATTTATTAAACAATAGTAAAATGTTCTCCAAAAAAAAAAAAAAAGAGCGGGGAGATTTGAAAGAGAAACAAATAGAATTTTTAGAAATAAAATTAGTATCCGGGAAGACAAATACAATGTAAACTAACCCTGGGAAAATCAAATTATAGAATCTGGATTTCAAGACCGGCTAAGACAGATCATAAAACTGAAGGTAAATTTGAGACACAGTCTTTGAGAAATCGAATTCTGACTTAATAATAAAGATCTTATTCTGCCAAAGAATCAAACATACCAGTATATCTCAAAGCATCACCCTTTTAGTCTTAAAACTGATTGTCCCTGCTTTGTCCTTTTGCTTCATTACCAGGGAGGGAAATACAACTAGTGGCAGTTCCTCTTCCCATTTGTCACTCAAGACTTTGGGGAAATCAATCTGGCTCCATAAGAGAAGAATGGATCCGCTTGCACTACTCTGTTCATAAAATTTGTAAAATGAATACATTTTATGAAAATCTTTAGAGTTTAACTCTTTGGGAGTGTGTTGTCTTGAATGTTTCTTCTCTACTCATAGATGGTCTATGACAATATTATCATTATTTTGATCACTAACAATTGCATAGGTTTCAGACATCTGCTAACGTTTGTATATGGCGATTATTATTCAGTCACTTTGGTAGAATATACTTGAAATTTTTTTTTAATATTGATACTGAGCTCAACTTTGATTTTTTCAATATCCCTCATATGCCAGTAGCCTACATTCTTTAGATGACTAACTACAGTTTGGGGCATGGTTTGTAGCAATAGAATAGACATTTTTCTGCAAAAGGTAAATGGTCCCAATGGGGTTCAAACTTGTGATCTTGGCCTCATTATCACACTTTTGTAACCATCAGGTCTAATAGTTGTGTTATGTATTTCAGTCAGTAATCATGAAATTGAGTTATGTTTCTTAAATTACCCATTGTTTATTTCAAATATTTAATTAAAAATCACTTTGGGATATTTCTCACTTTTGTTTGATAGTAAAAGTAACAAAAGTAAAGCAGACAACCAAAGAACCTACCTCACTTTTCATCTTCCCTGTGTTTTCTGTGACAGTGAAAGTCACAAAAGTGAAGCTTGCAGGCAAAGAACCTGACTCACTTTGCGGAGAGTGCTACGGTACCTTTTTCTTTAGTGAGGCTATAGCAGGTCTGATGTCAGTCACTTTAGAGACCTTTAGACCTCAGTGCTCATTTATTGCTAAAATGTACCAGCTCTGCTTCTGCATTATGAAGATCATCTGTCAACACTTTGAGATATTCTCCTTTGTTATTAAGCTTGTGATGCTCTACACTGTCAGGTTTTTTGCCAATTATAGTTAAGGTACAATGGTGTATTCACCAGATCAAAGTCTCACATTGGCAGTAGAAAAATGATTTGTAAGTCTTTATTCATCTGAATTGTACAATAGAGCACCTGAGGAATGCAAATAATCTCTCTGAGGACTCTGCAGGAAAGGCTGTTAGAATGACAGGGTAGAATTATTGTTATTCTGAATTGATGTTTTAGCCAAAGTAATTATTTCTTACTGTTTTGTAACAGTTCTAGCTTTATTAGTTATGTTGACCATATTTATGAAACAAAATGTATATGCTATTTTATCCTTTTTCGTGGGCTTGCTTTGTTAAACTTTCATTGAATCTATATTTGGTACATGATCTTTTTTTAATTACATACTTGATCGTATCTGATGTACCATAAATGTATGTTACATTTTAATAAACAGTTTTGTTTGAATAGTGTAAGTCTGTGATATAACTTAGAATAGGCAAAATATCGAATTAAATTTCCCTTTTTATCCCTTAGCTGTCCTTCATCATTTTGGCAAGAAAATATCTAGCTTGGATTTCCTATTTAAAGGACACTAAGAGAAATCTTTATTCATCTATTTATTGGGCTGGTGTGTGTGTGTGTGTGTGTGTGTGTGTGTGTGTGTGTTTTAAGGATATGACCAGAAGGAATAAATATTATGAAGAGCAAGAACCACTAATGACAGATAAGTAAAGTATAGTTAGCCTTGTAAAACAAGCATATACCAAGCCTTTATCCCATTGTAAATCCTATTTGGTAGGCTATATATATTTTTAATTTTCTGATAACTCTGATTCTCTGCCATTTTCTTTGGTAGGTTGAGTATTAATGACTGTGATTTAATTCTTTGTGTCTTTTCCCCTACAGTAACCTTCTTTTCCCCTAACGTGACCTTAGCATTGATTACTTAAAGGATTCCTGCCACAGTTTTTTTGCAATAGTAGCTATTAAAACCTTGGTCTAAATATGGGAGACTAGTGGAACTCTGCATGGTATACATTAGTATAAATTTCTATGAAATCTATATTAAATTCTATACTAAATCTATTTCAGAATTATAGGTATATATACTGTGATGATCTGAGAATGAAAATTAATGTTATTATTTCTGTTAATATTTGTTTACTATATGCTAGGCATTACTTTTCTAGGTTCTATATAATATAATATAATATAATATAATATAATATAATATAATATAATATAATATATACTATTACTATCTCCATTTTTAGAGATGTGGAAACTGAGGCCTAGAAAGGTTCAATAACCTGCCCAAGGAAAAAAACTAGTAAAGTGGTAGGATCGGGACCTGGTTAATATATTCATTATACTTAGTTCACTTATGTTCTCACTGCTACTTTGTCAGAATACTCCATGGTTTGGGGGAAGAGGGGTTCAAGTCATCTTTTTAAATAACACTTGGTATCAGTTTCCTAACTGATTTGGCTTTTCAATCCCTTTTGAATTCAATCCCTTTTGAATTTCTTTCATCTGTAGTTCTATACTCAAGATCCTACAAAAGTGAGGTTTATAAGAACAGTGTATACATAATCAACTAGGTTTGTTAATGTATATTTCTGGACATATTTGTTTTAATTAGCAAAAAATGTCCCTCAAAAACAATACAAATAGCCGGGACCGGTTTGGCTCAGCGGATAGAGCATCGGCCTGCAGATTGAAAGGTCCTGGGTTCGATTCCGGGCAAGGGCATATACCTTGGTTGCGGGCACATCCCCAGTGGGGGGTGTGCAAGAGGCAGCTGATCGATGATTCTCTCTCATCGATGTTTCTAACTATCTCTCTCCTCCTCTCTGTGAAAAATCAATAAAATATATTAGGGAAAAAAAACAATACAAATATAACTTATTGTTAATCTAAGAAGGAACTAAAGCAAGTATTATAGATATTTGGGTAAAAGAAATTATTTCCAAAGTCTCTTCAAAATTAGCTGGTACTTTTAGATCTGATTTCTATACAAACAAACTTTGTCTTTCAAAAATTTACTTTGTAAAGTAAGGAAAATAAATAATAAAATTGAGATTTTCAAGGGCATAGGTGTTAACACTGAACAAATTTAGTGTAACTTTTAAAAGTTTTAAAATATTTGTGTAATAGTTTCTATAGATAATGTGCTAAAGTAAAACTAAATTGCAGTAAAATATTATGGCATATACCTGAAGCAATTGCTGCCTGTTAATGCCTTGACCTTGGAAAGCTATACACAAAAAGATGGCATCATAAAACCGTGCAATTCTTATGAATATGTATGTGCTACTTGATAATAATGAATGTGGTACAGTCATGCATGCACTACAAGATAATGTTGTGCCCTTTTTTGTCTACAGGTTGATAAAAATCAAAGAGTGGGTGGACAAGTCTGACCCAGGTGCCTTGGTCATTCCTTTTAGTGGGGCCTTGGAACTCAAGTTGCAAGAATTGAGTGCTGAGGAGAGACAGCAGTATCTGGAAGCGAACACGACACAAAGGTTAATTTAGCATTCATTTTCCCTACACTTTATTATCAACTATTTCCTTGCAGTAATTTAATTGCTTGCGCTGATAGAATAATAAATGACAGAGTAATTACCATTATAAAGAGGGAATCTTCTCCTTTCTTTACCATGAGACAGAGTGAAAAGATTTATTTTAAATTAAGTTTTTAACTGTCATCTGTCATCTCTGTACAGTGTTTTAATTATAACATAGGTATTAGTTATGTATATTTTGAGAAGGAATGATCGCCAAAACTCTTTCGTCATGTTCAGTGGGGGAGGGGAAAGGGTGAATCAGTTGCCTGATTTTTTTCTGAGTAACCGTTAATATATTGTTTAAACATTGGATTTCAATCAAATAATTTTGCTTTCATGACCCACATCGTGGAAATAATTAATATTGGAGGAAATCGTCATAGAATGGGTAGATCGGGTTTTTCTTTTTTTTATAGTAAACAATTCAAAATTATATATTTAGACTAATACAATTAGAATTGATTTTAAAGGGGATTCTTAGCAATAGTTATATGCTTTCTGACCTCTTCAAGAGCATTAGAAAGATGAATGGTCATTTACTAGTATCTTTAACATTTTCTACTTGAAATGAATGATTTTAGCTCTGTACCAATCTGTGGCACAATTAACTTATATGTGAATTTGTTTCATTTTATTTCAGCGCTTTGCCAAAGATCATTAAGGCTGGGTTTGCAGCACTCCAACTAGAATACTTTTTCACTGCAGGCCCAGATGAAGTGCGTGCATGGACCATCAGGGTAAGATTCATACTTATTCATCAGCTATATCCAGTTCCACACTATTGAATTCAGATTGATATCACTGACTTTGAAGTTTGTCATGGTGGCGGTTAGCTAGTCATTACAGATGAGGTTTTTGTCCAGGATAACTTTAATTATTTGTGAGCTGCTGAACAGTGAAAGTGGAGCGGCATTGATTGAGGCAGGTAACAATTGATTCTGCCTATTACATAGTCTGAATTTCTTCATCCTGTAGAATCTGTCTACCCTCCTCCTGTGGTCAGAGATAAGACGCACCAGTATTGTGCTTGCTTAATCTGTGTGACTGGGTTTGTCTGCAGTGAAATTGATGTTGCTTTTCATTTTGTATTCGCTAAGTTTGTTTGGGTTGCGGGTGGTTCTTTCCTCCTTTGCTTTGCTCGGATTACATTTTCAGCAATAAAAGCAATATGACATCATTATGCTCTTCATAGATACACAGTTGGGCTCAAAGAGCTAAACTCAATGTGCAATAATTCATGCCTTTTTGTAATTTGAATTCATAGAGGTAGTGTTTATTTTTTTCAATGTTATATATTCAATTTTTCTTCTTTAAAAATGGATATGTATTTTAAATACTGATGTGTACTGATTAGGACCAAAAAGAATGACTAATTTATTCCCAGAGGACAATAGAAACTGAACTGTAATGGCTTGCTTTTAAATGTAAATGTATTATAATATGGTAGTTACTATTGAAAAAATGTTTTGAAATATATATAGTCCCACATAGTGTTATAGAATGTAAAAATTATGTCAGAACTTTTAGAAATACTGTTTATTCATTCTTTTATTGTGCTTTTTAAATATATGCTACATGAGTAATTTTAGTGCTGCTTTGACTTCTGTTTGCACTGACTACCGCAATTTATTGTTACATTTATTTTGATTTAATGTGGATAGAACGAGAAGGCAGTTCAACATAATGTTAAAAGCATTGTAAGAATGTGAAATTCACTCTTCTTTTATTTCCTCTCCCCTTTGTGAAAAAGAAAAATGTTTGATTAATTTCTAACCAAGGTCCTTTTATATAGACTTATAAAATAATGTCAAAGCAAATCTAAGTTGGTAAATAAATTGCCAGGGTTTATTTTTACTATATATTTTAAAGCCTTAAAACTTCTGAACTTAAGTATTTGTAACAAGAAAGGTAATGTGTTCTGGACTTGAAAATGTTGAAAGCTGGTTTATCTTAAGACTGATTGTAAGTATTCATGATTTAATGTGCTAAGAGATATTTAGTCAGGTAAGCATCAGTGAGTAGCCATATTAACCCAATACATCTTTTATTATAAAAACTGTGCTTTATAGTGTCAGATTTCTTATCACTTTAACATGCTTTATTAAGCAGTCTTTAGGTCACCATTATTTCTCAGATTTCTCTCCATGGTTGTGTGTGTCTGAAATGTATGTCCTTGTAATTTAACATATGCGGTAATTACAAGACATTTCTCTTCCTACATTGACTTCAATTTTCCTACGTGATGGTTAAAAGCAGGGTGTGTAATGTAAAATGCTCAAAATTTTTATTATAAGAATTTCAAAATTATTTGCTAAACATGTATTTTATGTATGCACATATGATATGTTGGAAAATACCTCTTAAATGTCTCTTTATGTATTGATTTTTTATATTCTTTAGATGTACTAAAAATTTCAAGGCTTTTACCTTTTAAAACCTTTGCTAATATATCTTAAAAGTTACTTTTAAAATCCTTATTTTTTCCACTGTGAAGAATAGAAAATCGAAATGAAACCTAGGCCAGAACCAAACCACTGCATCTAAATCAATAAAACTGTGGATGACTGACTGTTAGGGAAAAACAAAGCTGTGCTTCTTTAATATCGACTGATCTGTCTGTGCTAAACCTGCCACACAGATAGTGCCCAGTGTTGAAAAGGTACTAATTGTGTACCTGACATCTTCACTGATATTAAACTAAGTTTAAGTTGGCCACAACTACAGATTAAAAAAAAGAAACTTGACATTTACAATCCTCATCTTAAATGCAATTAGTTTTCTCTGGTCTTTCTTTTCAAAGAAAGGGACGAAGGCTCCTCAGGCTGCAGGAAAGATTCACACAGACTTTGAAAAAGGATTCATTATGGCTGAAGTAATGAAATATGATGATTTTAAAGAGGAAGGTTCTGAAAATGCAGTCAAGGTAAAGAATTATAGTTTCATATTTTGTAATTTTACTGATAAGAAAATACTCATGATTAAAATGAATAATCTTTTAAATTGTGTATCAGGGTTGTATTACTATCCACTGATTGAACAGCTGTAGATGTTTACATGCTTTTAGATAATTTTAAAAATGTGTGAATTGTGTTTTCCTAAAACTGAAAAAAATAGTTTTAAGTAATTATAAATAATTTCAAAGAATTTGTTGTTCACTGATGGCCAGTGAAAAATTATACTTATATAATACTACTTCTACTTTAGATATTCAAAGGTAGTATCTAAAGTAGAAGTAGTATTATATCCTTTTTATTAATTCAAAGGGACAGAAAAATCTGTTCTTACTGAAACTTCATGGTTGTACTTTTTTTTTTTTAAAGATATTTGGGGATTTGATTTGCTTTCTCAACACTAGAGGGCAGGTCCAAAATTGTGCTTTATTTTAGCTAATAAATGTAATATACTTTGCAGCTCTGACAGCAAAGCAATATTATATGTGAGTAATAAATTAATTTTTATAATGTAAATCTTTTTCAAGCTTAGTCTTATTTGACTTTATTATGTTTTCCTTAGCAGAATCTAGTTGGTATGTCATCTCTAATCTGTAGATAGGTCAAGTGATTAAACTGACATTGTAATAAGCAAGGCTTCTTTATCTTAGTTTAATCTGATATTTGAAGACTGCCATAGAAAATATTATAGAATTTAAAGAGGTTTCTTGTTTTTATTATTCATAATTTGAAAGGAATGCAGAAAAGTTTATTTCAAATTTAGTGTATTCTAATTGATATCATTGGAAAGATCATACGGAACAGCATGACTTTAATAGAACTTTTGGAACCCCAGGAAGAGGAGTCATTTTGTTTTTTAAAAATTAGTGAGAGAAGTTACAGTTTACAACCAAATGTCATTAACGTTCCAGTGGTTGTCATCTGTGTCGATAGAGAGATATGCAAATACTCAAATTGAACTTTGTCACGAATACTAATTAGACTTGGAAACCTCAGGTTATTTTTCAACATGCTACATAATGTTAGCATATACATTTTTCATATAATAGGATAATTAAAATAAGGATATTTTTCTATTATTAGAATTCAGAAATCAGATGATACTTTTTTTATACTCTGTGATAAGCCTGCACCAATTCTTGATAGATATGCTATTGTAATAAACTTGAAAGATATATAAATTGTGAATATTTCCTTTAACAACACCTGGAAACTTTATAATATACAATAAAGTAATATTTCCTGCTTATAGAAATGCTTGGCACAAACTGGAGGCTTTTGTACTTTAAGTTGGAAATTATTGACCTCTGGATTTTCAGCTTCAAATACCATTTAGTATTTTTTGTGGTTTTTAACCTCTAAAACTAACGTTTTGGAATTTAAAGTCCAAGTAAATAAAGCATTTATGAGTTGTCTTATACTCTTTTATTCAACAAATATTTACTTGCATATTATCAAGTAGGTTTTAGCTTCGAGAGCAAGATTAGTATATGTGTATATGTATGTATATGTATTTCTAGTACCAGTGCAGCATAACTAATTTAATGCCAGTGCTGTGAACTATATACTGAATAGCTCTGTGTGGGCTTTGTAGTCTACAGGGATATCACATTATTAGCAATCATATCTGCTTAGGCAAAGCTGGCTTCTACAGATGGCTGCTTTCAAGTGCAAATGAACTGGTTAGACGTGTCTTGTTTAATACATACTCAAGATTCACAAATGGGTATTGATTTTTTTTTTTTTAAACCAGTGTTTCTGATAGCAGTGGAAATGGATTAAATGGTCTCTAGAGAATTTAAAGAAACACTGTCACCTTTAATTAATAGTAAACTTGAGTGGTAACAAAGTATATAAACTTGTATATTAATATGTCATGTCAGTATGTATTTGATTTAAATTGTATAGCTTTATAACTGTGAGTTTTATATTATCAGAATAAGTAGCATATGGCCTATAATATATCATGTCTTTATAAAAATCATGTGAGAGAGAGAGTGGGTGTGTGTGGGGCGGAGTCTGTGCCATTTAGAGTATCAAGGCTTTTTAAAAATTAGCTGTTTTAATAGTAGTTTTAATAATACATACTATTAGTAGGTGATTTTTGTATATGTAGGCTAGTATTTGAAAATTTGCTTACTACAACTCTGATTTGGTTTGTTAATTTTAACCTCAGATGTAGGATCTTCGTTAGTGTTGTTTCTCATTAGTATAATTGCACTTGACTTTGAACATTCTTATCGATATGTTCAAAGGGAAGTAGTGATCTTGTTGGGCAAAGGTTTTGTGTTCTCAGTAAATTCTAACAGAAGGAAAATACTTTTGAGAGTTTTTTCAAAAGATCACGTCCTCCTTGTCGAGTGGTCAGTGATGGAGTCACATGGACCTATGTCAGTTTGTGCAGGTTTAAGTGTAGATGCTGAAGAGTCTGCTGCGCCATGGGGTGAACCTGGGTCTCTGGAACTGCCATGTGCTTGCATTAGGATTGCTGACTGATTGCATGTCTAAATCTGCATGCCAGCAGGTGGAATCAATTGCTTTGCTAACTAATACACAAGTGGAAAAAAAAAAAATCTGTCTTTGCAGTTCCAACCTGTTAGAGTCTGCTTGTGGCTAGGGCTGTTAATACAGGCACACCTCGTTTTATTGCACTTCGCTTCATTGCGCTTCACAGATGTTGTGTTTTTTACAAATTGAAGGCCAGACCCTCCACCAGAAAAAAAGCTTACAGTTGGCTTTATTGCAATACTTGCTTTATGGTGGTGATCTGGAACAAACCTGTGATATCTTTGAGGTGTGCTGGTAATCTTCATGATGCATTCTAATACAGAGCACTATGCATAGTCATTATCAAGACCAATAAAAAACTACAAGGAAAAAATTTAAAATCTGTGTATTTTTACACTTGATAGTAGTAGTTCTTGTAGTAGTTCTCTCTCTCACATGATTTTTTGACATCACAGAATTTCTTTAAACAAAGAAACCTTTTACTAGTTATGTAGTTTTTGTGTTTGTTTTTTTTTTTTTCCAGCCTGGCTTGATCTTGTTTCGTTACAGTGACTTACTGGATGTTTGCAGACACATCAGAAATGTGCCATAAACAGCATGTAATGAAACTTAATGATATTGGTATAATTACATTTATATACTAACAATTTAGTGGAGAATACATTATGATTATGTATATATAGAAAATCTAGTTCTGCCCAAATCAGGAATACTTTGCTTCTCTCAAATTCTAGTTTTAAACTTGTATGCCTTCCTATATTTATTTCTTTAAAAAAAAAAAAACAAAAAAAAAAACACCAACATATGACCTATGAGTATAATACCTTTTGCATCTGTTCCTACCATTTACCTTATGTCTTATGCAATTAGTTGTACAATAACCCATTTATTCTATATTTTCTACTTGCAGGCCGCTGGAAAGTACAGACAACAAGGCAGAAATTATATTGTTGAAGATGGAGATATTATCTTCTTCAAATTTAATACACCTCAGCAACCGAAGAAAAAATAAATTTTAGTTATTGCTCAGATAAACATACGATTTCCAAAAAACATATGATTTTTTTAATTAAAATTTCTGAAAACTGAAGGGACACACAAAGTTGGTGGATGGGAATCTTCTACAAACAGAATTATTTTTATTTGTTTTAAAATTAAAATACTGTGTACCTTCAATGAAATACAAGTTCTCTAATGTGAACAGCTTTGCTTTTCACGTGATTAAGACCCTACTCCAAATTGTGGAAGCTTTTCAGGAACCATATTACTCTCATGATACTTCATTAATCTCCATCATGTATGCCAAGCCTGACACATTTGACAGTGAGGACAATGTGGCTTGCTCCTTTTTGAATCTACAGATAATGCATGTTTTACAGTACTCCAGATGTCTACACTCAATAAAACATTTGACAAAACCAGCCTTGGTGTGTTTGGGGATGTCTGTATTGACTGACTGTGGTGTGCTGTATGCGATACGGCACCTGGTGGTTGCTGATTACTGCGTGTGCGGCACAGTAACTGGCAGTGTGGGGCAGCTGCAATTGTATCTTAAAAGTGAGTCTTTCATGGGAATCAGAAGAATAGTTACCAAGGATTTGTCTCACGAAAGTTAATTAATTTGTAGATGGACATTTATTGAAGGACGATAGCAATGATGCTACAAAGAATATAACATAGGTGACTGTGACCAAAAAAAAAATAATGCTGAAAAAAAAATCTACTTCAAAAGTAAGGGCTTTGTTGTTGTTATTGTTGTTCTGACCATATTGAAGAGAATGTTTATTTTTAATTTTTCCTTTGAAATGATGAAATTATTATGCGAACAACTCACTCACGTCTTTGGTGAGTTGTATTTTTTTTTTCAGTAGTGAGTGTAAAAGTTTATTACTAAGAAGATCAGTCCTTGAAAATAAAAAGAACCTGCTTTCATACTTGCTATCAAAATATTTTAGACCAGTTGAAGTTTTAGTATGTATAAGTTAAGCCCTTCTAAAATTACAGTAGAAAATTCTGAAAGAAAATAATGACGAATTAGTTCTTTGGAGACCAATTGGCACTTGGCCTTCTTCTCTAATGAGGACAGTCTTAAGAGTCTCTCATCCCTGAACCCTCCTTCTCTCCCACACTAATGCCTGCAAGGCCTCCCTTGTCCCCATCCATGCCCTTTTGTTCTCTATGATTACAGGATCATTTCAGTGGAATGCAGTCATACCTAGGTTATTCTACTGTATTACTGTGTCACATTAAAGATGAGGAAATATGAAAACACACACTTAAACTTAACATTGAAACAACAGCACAAAAGATAAGAAAATAAGTGATCTTAAAGGAGCTTTGGCTGTCCATAGAAAGGATGTTTAAAAAGGATTTAGTTGAATAGTGAATGTAATAGGAGCTCCTAAGTGAATATGCTCTTTTTGAGAATCAAATGCAGTAGTCCCGCCTTATCCTCGGGATATGTTCTAAGAACTCTGGTGGATGGCCGAAACGGAGGATAGTACCCAACCTATGTATATTTTTCCCTATATGCACTTACCTATGAAAAAGTTTAATAAATTATGCACAGTAAGATAGTAACAATAGTAAAGTAGGACATTTATAATATAATAAGAGTTATGTAAATATGATCTCATAACCGATCTGATAACTAAGACGGTTACTAAGTAACTAACGGGCAGGTAGCATATACAGGGTGGATACACTGGATGAAGGGATGATTCATGTCTTAGACCAGCCAGAGCGAGACAGCGTAAGATTTCATTATGCTACTCAGAACAGCATGTAATTTAAAACTTCATTGTTAAAACTGGAATTTTTCATTTAATATTTTTGGACTTCAGTTGACCACAGGTAACTGAAACAGCAGAAAGCGAAACCATGTGTAAGGAGGAACTATAGCAAGATATTCTTTAGCAAACATAAAAATTCATAAACTGCAGCAGAGAAATAATAAGACTAAGTGGAAAGTTGTGTGGGCTTTTTTGTTTGTTTGTTTTTTAAGAACTAAATAAAACCTAAGTGAAACTCAAGTACAGGTGCAGTTGACCAAGTTTGCTGTGAAAATTCATGTGTTTCTGTATTGGAGGAATGTATATAGATTAGTATATTGCTAGGGATTTAAAGAAATAAAATATTTTGCTTTTGAGTCTTCTCCAAAGTAAATTGCATAAACTTCTCACATACATTTGAAATCTTATTTAAAGGCCTTTACAGCTGTGTGATTTTACTTTTGCTGACTTCTAATGTGATAATTGCACATTGCAGAAGAGAACCATTAAGAGAAAGGAGTGAGTTTTGAGGTAACTGCATTTATTAGGGGTTGAAATTAAATTTGGTTAGAGGTTCTGCAACATTCTAAATATGTGTACAAAATTGTACTTCCTACAACAGTTGAGAATTCCAAGAACTTTTGCATACAAATAACCAAGAGTATGCCTATATCTTCATATTTAATACTGGTGGTAATTATCTGTATTTTTAGGATATAATTGAATTTTTTTTTTACCTATCTAGCTCCATTTTAATCATATATTTAATTTAAAAGATATTTTATTTTTGCCCAAAGCTTAGGAAAAGGTGTGTGATATCGCTGAGTTGAGTTTTATCATGTTAGCTCCCTAACTTGCACTTCGGCGTGGCTTACCAGAACCAGAATCCCCTGCCACCAAAAAAGGAACACAGATACTTTTCATCATTAACATCGTTTTGTGTGAAGCTTCTGTTTACGTGTAATTTGCCAGGTCCATTTGGGAAGTAAGTTTTTTTACTCACGATTAATCAACTTTATGGCATTAAAATCCAAATTGATATTTATTCCTAGTTGTCTCTGTATTGTATTCTCAAAGCTCCTCCCCTCAAAGAGTCAGAGACAGAAAATTCCTTCTTTTCCTGTCTTACATTTTTCTGAGTAGTCTACTTAAATACACTTATGCTCTTTATTTTGCCAGATACTTCAGAAATATTCATTGTTTAATGGCAAACTGCTCTAGCTGGGAAAATGGGTCTCATCTATTTAAGCTAGAAAAATACCCTGCTGGTAGACTAAAAGCTGGGTTAGACTTTTGAGTGACTTTTTTGTTTCCTAACTGATAAGGGGCCCCTTATAAAAACTGACAGTTCTTGAATCGCCTTTATTCTCTGAATATCCGGAACCACTTATAATTAGTGTCTCACTGAAAAGCCTTATGTTGCAATCAGGAAATATAAAAACGAGAGGCCTCACTTGACCCAGCAAGTAGCACTTCAGAGTTCTGAAACCACACATCCGATCTGGTCCTTGCAGGTATGGAGACATGACTTTTTTTCAGTTCAGCTGATGCTGTGTGGAACACTTCCCAAACTTAAAAGGGCCCAATTTGTAAACTAGAATGTAAGTCCTTTCATTTACAGCAGAAGGTGCTCCCGGTATGTAATCAAATGGTAGTTAAGGCCCATACTCAGGAGTGAAAAGGATCCGGCCCTCAGAGGAAGTAGGGAAGGAGCATCTCAGGCAGAAGGAAGGCGATGCAGAGGCTGTGAGGCAGGAAGGAGCCTGGTGTTTTGAGGAACAGACAGGAGGCTGGATGGCTAGAGTGTAATGAGTACAAGATGCTCAGTTATGCAGTGCTTTGCATGTACAATGTAGTGCTGGGATTTTATTCTAACAAATGGATAGCCACTAGAGGGGTTTTAAGTGAGAGGCATATGATCTTATTTACATCTTTAAGGATCACCTAGAATCTTGACTCCTCTGCCACGTTACCTAGCTCCGCCCCCCCCCTCCCGTTGATTGTGAGAGCCAGCTGAGAGGAGAAAGCAAAGTGCACAGAGGGCAGATGGAGCAGAGAGCCTAGGAGCAGCACAGGGGATGTCAGAGGCCAGAGAAGTGCACAGGGCAGGCAGCACTGTCCATAGAAATACAATGTGAGCCAGGTATGCATATAAATTTTTCTAGCAGCCTCATTTAAAAAAAAAAATCTATTGATTTTTTACAAAGAGGAATAGAGAGTTAGAAACATCGATGAGAGAGAGACATCGATCAGCTGCCTCTTGCACACCCCCTACTGGGAATGTGCCCGCAACCAAGGTACATGCCCTTGACCGGAATCAAACCCAGGAACTTTCAGTCCGCAACCGATGCTCTATCCACTGAGTCAAACTGGTTTCGGTGCAGCCTCATTTTTTAAAAGAAACAATTCATCTTAATGTATTTTTAACTCAAATCCAAATTTTAATATTTTAATATGTATTCAATTTAAAAATTATTAAGACATTTTAGATATATTTTTTTATATTGTCTTCAAAATCAGGAGTGTATTTTACACCTACAATCTATCTCAATTCAAACTAGCCACATTTCCACCACTCAATAGCCACGTGTGGCTTAGTGGCTACTGTAGCAGACAGTGTGGATCTAGGGGTTTACCTTTCCTCTCATTCCCATCGGATTCCAACAAATTTAATTAAAAACTCACTTTGCACAGATTGGATGTGTTTTCATTTAAAGCTAAACGTCAAAAATGTATGCTAAATCCTCATTTCTGGGTTTTTTGTTTGTTTGTTTGTTTGTTTGTTTGTTTGTTTTTTAAGTGTAGGGCTTATTGCCTAGAGGATGGCAAGGAGAGAGCAGTTATAGTAGTACCAATAAGACTGACTCTTAACTTAGACTACAAATGGAGAGTTGCAACTTGATTTGATCTTGCTGGAGGAAGACACGGATGGATTGGATGAGAGGAGAGAAGGGAGGAATTAAGAATGATTTCTATGCTTGGAATATATGTGAAGAAGTGCAAAACACTAATGAATGCCCCCATGTTCATTGCAGCCAAGTTATGAAGCAACCTGTGTGCCCATCAATAGAAAAGTGAATAAAAAAGTGCTTATATGTATGTATAATGGAATATTACTTGGCCGTAAAAAGGGATGAAATCTTACCTCTTCCAACAGCATGAATACCTTACGGGTATTGTGCTAAGTGAAATAAGTCAGATAGTGATTTCAGCTGTTTGGCTAACTATTTGTCATTTTTGG